ATACTTGAAGAAAGGAGATTAATGCTCTTTGGTGTTTGATAATCTAAGCTACAGATATATTATTCTATTTGTTAATAGAATATGTTAATGCTGAAGCCCTCGCTTTCCCCAACACTGAGTTTAGCAAGAACCAACTAGGTTGTAATCAAATAGAATTACTCAAGATGGAAAGCTTGAAAGATACACCTATAAGATATCTACATGTGAAGTTTCTGATTAGATGCTTAATCAATTGCTAAATATATGTCTGGAAGATTTTATCTGAGCAAACATTAATTCGTCCTCAGTCCTCATATTGTGAAGGAAAGCTAATTCGTCAAGATAGTTATCCATGAATATATATTCTCATACCAGACTCAATTCGAAGAATTCTATTATCAGAAACTATCATGACGCATCAATTTCAAGAACTTGCTGTTTCAATTGGGGTTTAGAGGGAATTAGTCACTGTCTAACTCTACAATGTATAGGATATTGTTCCAGTACATCTACAAAAGGATAGCTTGCTCTGGTTTGCATGCATGGTATAAGTTGTTTTTTCTTTTAAGTTTCCTCTTTGTGAAAATTTATATATTATTGTCACATGATGACTACAACTGGTCTGTTCGTCCATTTATGGAAAACCACCATTAGTTCTGTTTTATTGTTTGGACTTGTTGGAAATGAGAAAGAGTCTTAGCCAGTGAAACTATGATTTGTAAACACTCTAGAAATCAGTTGTATCATCGGCTGAATTAGTTTTATTAGGAACCTGTTCTGATTATGAATCTATCAGTTAAAGTTCAGCTAATTATTTGCTCTTCTCCAACTCGCTTTACACATTTGTATCATGTCAAAATGCTTTATGATGCAGGCGAGCATCCGGTGGGAAAAACGACAATCTAAAGTCTTGGTAAGAACTCCTGGCCCAAGTTTAAAGTACATGTCTAACTACTTGTTAAAAAGTATATGTCTAACTACCTTGTAATATGCATAATTCAGTTTTTTTTTGCTTTGCTTATATTCAAAACTCTCGAATCGTTCGTTTACCTATATTTCGGATAGTGATATGTTATAGTCATGCTGTGCACATGGTCTGTGTTGTAAATGGTTTACTTTTATGCATATTCCAGAATTTTTTTGGTTATTCATGCATTAGGAAGTAGTATTAATTTTTAGTAAAGTAGGCGTGATGCTGCAATTTCCTCTATTATTTTGTTCATCTTTCTCTCCTTTTGAGCAGTGCAATTTCCGTGGTTATATATATTGCTTTGAATTCTATTAGTTAATGGGAGAGTTACTTTCATGTGAATATTGCTAGCAAGATTGCAAAAGGTGTGCTTGTTAGTATGTTTAGCAGGGGGCATATGAAGTTGTTTCTACGCGGATTTCATACTTGATTTTCTGCTCCTATTGATAGCTGTAGCATCGTGATTAGACGGAAAACTGGTATAACATGTAAGTTATTGCAGGAACAAGCTAAAATCAGAATGATGAAGAAGAAAGATTCTGAGAAACCTGAATCATACTGGGACAATCTATGGGGCAATGCTAAAGACTATGCAAATACAGGTACGGAAAACAAACCTATAGGAATTTGCTAATGTACATTATCTCCAAATAACCAAATTTGATTTGGTTGCTGCAGAGGAAGAAGTGGAAGAAAGAACAAAACGAGCTGCAGCAGCTGCTCGAAGATGGAGAGAGTACTCAAGGAGAGGCGCTGATAAACCTCCTACCTTTAAACTTCCGGAGGCCATCTCCAATGACAATTGACATACTACTTCCTAACCGATTCTCTAGCATATGGTACATGCATCTCACCTTTGTAGCATATGATTGATGCATTTAGATATAGTCTATTCATGATAGTCGCGGTGCATCCACCTCAATGTAATTATATACCCAAAATTAAGCTCCCTACATTTATCTGTATGTAAGATTAGTCATAATTCAATAAAAATTATATAAGGAGTAAATGGAGAAAACAATTATTCAACCTGTGTTCTCTATGCATGTTATTGGGATGGTGGGTAGGAAGGGAGGGTACACAAGCCAAAACCCAGGCAGTGGCAGAGACACAAGCCGGACTCAGTCATTAACACTTGAAGTCGTGGTCCCAAAATCCAGAACTCATAAGGTTGGAATCCAGGTGGACCTTGTCCAATTGCCAAGTATTAATATGTGGTTGGTATTTTTAAATGATACTTCTTTGTGCTATATCTTATCCATCATGCAAATACAGATGGAAGAGCCAGAATATCCTTTAATACTCCCAGTTGAAAGGGTGAAGCATGACTCAAATTGGAGTTGTTTTATAAAGAGCAGTTTTTCAAATCTAATTTCTTTTCACTACTATTTTGTATGTTGACTTTGGTAAGTATATTTAACAAATAAAATCCTCCATAATTTTAACATGACTATTATTTTAATCAAAGGTTGTTAAAGCATATTGTTTACCTACCCCCCCCCCCCTCTTTATGGGGCCTTTCTTTTATAGTTGACCATGTTTTAAGATATACACATTTAGTTTCATAAACCTTAATTATCTCTCAGCTGTAGCCTGTAGATGATACTGTAAGTATTATCATGATATACTGCTTCAAATAAATGCACAGTTCCGCCTATCAAAGAAGGACAAGAAAAAATAAAAATAAAAATTTGCAAAATAAGATGTTGGGAACTTTATGAAAGTGTGAGATTATCTTCAGTACTTGGACTTGTTGGAGAGTGATGTTGATGTTATAATTTGTTACCTCTCTATCTTGAAGTGTATACATTAATCTTCCCAAACCTTACTCGGGCTTCTTGTTGCAATGTGTTATGTCAAACTAGTCAGAGTTCACTATCCCTGGTTGATGTTTTAATATTGATATAATATTTGTCATCATAATTCTTATCTTTTTCTTGGTGGTATTACTTGTAACTTGGTATATCACTTTCACTTTCACATTATTGGGAAGTGGGTAGGAAGGGAGGGTGAAGCTCATAGTGTTTTGAGCTTTAGGTTAAGTACTTGGAATTTCATGTCAACTGAAATAAAAGCTTTTGGTACATTGTCAAATAATGATGATAACATGGGTACAACTTAAATGGAAAAGTAAGGACTCCAACTAATAACTGATGGAATTGTAAAATAATAAAGAAGCTCGTGTTTTTGACATCTTTGAGAAAATACTGATTTTGTAGAGCTTACAACAAATTTTCATAATCAATTATTCTAGCTGAGAAGCTGTATGTCGGTTAACCATTTTAGCTCTTTAATTTTTATCCTTTTCTTTTGAGTCTTGAATTTCATTTCAAAATCATGGCCAATCCTTGTAAAACCAGAAAGTATCAAATAGCTTCAGATTTTTTTGTTTTGCCTTCTAAATAGCTGCCATATATGCGCCCTTGGAAAAGAGACATTTTTTCCTAAAGGAAATCTTGTAAAGTTTGTTGTATATACGTTGTACACGCACATCCATGTATATCACTCAGCATATATTATTCGAATCTCATTAATTAGGGGTTGTTTAGTACACGTTGGTCTAGAAGAATAAAAAAAATTATGAGTAAAATATTTTACACACTTAGGTCTTCTATAAGGTAATTTTCTATAATAATCAACATTAATAGATACTGGAAAAAGATGGTAACTAACCTAATATAATAAACTAGTATCAGGTTAGTTAAAGATGGTATTATTATTTTTTACCAAATAAAAAAAAAATAAACTATAGTAAATTTTACGGAGTTTAGGGAACATGAATTTTCCTAGCAAATGCAGTCCTTTTATATATTCAACTCTTTATTTTTACCAAAGCATTTATCTATATCTATCACAGAACAAATAGAATACTACATTTACTATTAATTCGTCCACAATTACTAATATACTTAATAAACACGTTAAATTACAGTATTTTTAAGTTTTGTGTTCAACTAAATGGAGGAAATAGACTAGGAATATAGGGAGGATATTCCAAGAAATAGTATCATTTAGATCTATCTAGAAAGTTCTTGGCATGAAGGGTATAACTTTGATATGAATATTACTAGATGAACATACAAAGTACACGTAGAAAAGTCAGTATTGGTTGGTCTACACAATGTTTTGAAGATGGACCAATTCAATTTCTTGGAAATGACACTAGATAGTCACTGAATTGTCCTTAAATTAATATTTTTAGTTCTAATATTTAGAACAAAAAAGTACCGGCTAATTCCTAAATAGCAGCCCTAAGAATGGCTGTTTGTGCCTTTTCTCCAAAATTACTCGATGTCTAATTGGCATTATGGAATAGTTAAAAGCTAGCGTTTGACCATAAATTCCTAAATTTGTTTTGAAAAATCTGATCTGGATGAAGCTTGGTTTGAAGATGAAAATGTGTTTTGACATAAGTTTTCAAAACATATTCCACTTTTTTTTAAAAAAAAACATAAAACATGACTTATATCCATAATTTTTAAAAACTATCACAAATACCCAACAAAACCTTATTAAATAACATTCATTATATTATCGCAAACCATAGTCCTGAACATAAATAAATTTGGTACAAAATTATTATTTTTATAATGAACTACATAATACACTATCAGATGACTGAGAAGACGAAACAACATTTTTATAAAATAATAAATGTTGGGCTCTTTTATAAAATACAAAAGTTTGGGCGATTATTAAAAAACGTAATAGTGATATTTTGGGTTTTAGGAATTTGCCAAAATGTAGATAAAATTTATTGCCAAACATGTATTTGCCAAAAAAAAATATATATATATATTTTGGCAAAATCTATGACTACACCGGTCCTAGAGATAAATTCCCTGGTTGGATGGTAATGAAATCTAAAGATATTACTTTTAGATACAAAAATTTCTGAGATGGTAATCAAATTGAAAATGATTCAGTTGAAGAATTTAGGAATACAAATATAATACAGTTAGAAAAAGAAAGAAGAAGAAGCAACTCTACTTGCAACTACCCCTCCAACCACTTTGATCTTTTTGAAGTTGTTGAGGGGTAAAAAAAACTACTAGTATCTGACAGTAGAAGCAACAGTATGAGCCCAAAACCTAAGTTGATCTTTAATTTCCATTTCATTTCTCAAAACTGGATTAATCTTCCAACTTATTTTTTTCTTTTCTTCCCAAACAGCCCATGCTTCTGAAAGATGAGGCCTTGAAACTGCAGCTTCTTCTAGTTCCTCAAATCTCATATTCTCTTCATTTTCCCTTCCCAATCTCCTCAATCCAGGAAGTATTGACACCAAACTTGAATCTTTATCTTTATCTGAAAACTCAAAACCAAGATCCATAAACCCTTTTAGCTCCTCAAACTCTAACTCTGACAAACTTTTACTACTATTATTACTCTTCTTTTTTCTCCTTCTATAACTCTCTTTACTCTTATCACCTCCTTCAGCTGGCTTAGAAGAAAATTGCAACTCATTATATTCTTTACCAGAAAGAATTGGCTCAAGTTTAGGCTCAACAAGAACAGATTTTGGTGAGTTTTCTGAATGAAAAGTAGTATCTTTAGAGCTCAAACATTGGTCACTTTGAGATCTGACAATAAAAGTTGGAGTCTTTGAAAGTTTTGGCTGTTCAAGATTTGAAATTGCTGAAAAGGGTTGTTTGGGTTTGAGTATTTCAGATTCAAACCAGTAAGAATTGAAGAGGTTAAGCAATTGTTCAACGTCCATTAATGTCGGCAAAAACAAGAAAAGGGATGAGGGGTTTAAGGATAGGTTTTAAAAGTGTAGGGAGATACTGAAATGGTAATTATTAGTGGGTGGGAGAGCAATATATAGGCATTATTCAAACATTAGCAATTATGTTTACTTTATTAAAGTAATACTTACACGTTTATATTTCAAACTGTTCTTTTGAAAAGCTCCTCTCACCAAAATAAAGGAAAAAAAAAAACTCTTTTTCTTTTATATTTTTATTCATTATTTTCAAATTCTTTAGAGGGAAAGAGGACTGATGAGTGATGAGGCGTCGGAGGAGCGGAGGAGTTCCACTATTAACTCAATTTTTTCGTCACTAAATTTGGGTGTAAAAGATACTTTTTCTTATACAGTTGTACCTAAAAAGAAAAGGTAAAAGAAACCAAATTTATTTTTAACAATGTTCCTAATCGAGTATATCTTTTTAGTAAAATAAACATTTTTTTTCACCACTAACACGTTTTTTTTTCCGGAATTTATCACAAATTTCCTTTTAAAGCGATTAATTATCTTTTTTTTTTTGTAACAATGTGAATATTACCATTGATCATCAAACAATTACATTTATAGAGCACCTAATTATCTGTCCACAAACTTTTAGGCCTCCAATAAACAGAAAAAATAACTAATTACAAGTAATTTGTCTAACTAAATTTCTATATTTCTGAGCTTTCTTTGATTGCTTAAGTAAATCTATCATTTCTATCACTTCTCTCTTAATTTGTGTAACTACCTCTGCTTTATTTACAGTTCTTCCTTGAAAAATTTTAACGTTCCTAACTCTCCATATATGGTATATCACTGCTGCTATGTTCACTGCAACTATCACTTCCTTTTTGAATTGCTTCCAATGCTTCCTTTTGACCTCTTCTAGCATTTGCTTGATTCCTGTAGTTTGCACTGTCTGCCCAAGCCACAAATTTAACTCTTGTCTTACTGCATTGATCCAGCTACATTTAACAAACAGATGGTCCTGTGATTCCAGTGTGTCCTCATTACACAAATTACAGTTAATGTCTTCAACCTGTAATTGCATTCCAATCATCCTGTCCTTAGTTAGCAGCCTCCCAAGTGTTGCAAGCCAACCAATAAACCTGTGTTTGGGTTGTGCTACAGCTGTCCATATTAAATCTGCAATCTTCATCTTTTGTTGTTGACCAAGTATTGCAAGATAGCTTTGAGTAATTGAGTAACTCCCTTCTGAAGTTAATGTATATCTGCCCTGGGAGTACCATTCCTTCATCAGTTCTTTAGTTGAGTTTAGCTTTCTCCAATACCAACTACTATCTATTGGAGGTGTATGAGCCCATATGTCATGATCAGTTTTCATATATACCCCCATGAACCCACCTTACTCATAGGGATTCCTTATTCACAACCAGCTGTCATATTAGTTTACCTACTGAAGCTATATTCCATTCCTTGCAACCTTTGATATTTAGACCCCCCAAGTTCTTTGGACAACACACCTTATCACATGCAAACAGAGCCACTTTCTTCTGTCCCTCCTTTTTCCCCCATAGATACTCCCTACACATCTTATCAACTCCTTCCACCACACTTTGTGGTAAAATGAAAACATTCCCCCAAAAGCTATATATAGAGAAGAGTACAACATTAACTATTTGAAGCCTTCCACCATATGACAATTTCTTAGAATATGTAACATTAATTCTGTGAGTGATCTTCCCAGTCAACATTTGACAATCCATCTTGTTCCATTTCCTAGGGGATAGAGGCAGCCCCAAGTACTTGATAGGAAATGTCCCAGCAGTGAAGCCTGTTCTTTTCAACAGTTGGTATTTGATATCATCTCCAACCCTAGCTACAAAAATGCTTGATTTTTGCATATTTTCTATCAAACCAGATACCTTACTGAAGTGATCAAGGGCTTCCATTACTCTGTTTACTGAGCTAGTATTTTCCTTGCAGAATATCATCAAATCATCAGTAAATATGAGATGTGTCAGCTTGATCCCTTTACACATTGAATGGAACCTGAAATCAAGTAGACTACTGATTGTCCTTAAAGTTCTAGACAGGTATTCCATTACAAGAACAAATAGCAATGGAGGGATTGGATCTCCTTGCCTCAACCCTCTCTTTCCAGCAAAGTAACTATGTCTTTCACCATTAATTTTAACTGTGAACATTACAGTAGAAACACATACTATGATACAGTGTATGAACTTATCTGAAAATCCATACCCTCTTAGAACTTCCTCCAAAAACTCCCAACTCACCATATCATATGCCTTTCTAAGGTCTATTTTCATTAAACATTTAGGAGTTGTCTTCCTATTGTAGTGCCTTAGTAAGTCATGGCATATTAACAAATTATGCATCATGGACCTTTCTTGTACAAAAGCTGACTGATTATCTGCTACTATATGATTGATTGCTGGCTTTAGCCCGGAACAGATCATTTTTTATATACACTTGTATAGGACATAGCAACAGGAGATAGGCCTATATTGGCCTGCATTTTCTAAAATTTCTACTTTAGGTATCAAGGCAATGTTAGTGATATTTATTTGCCTGAGCATGTTGCCATTCTGAAAAAACTTCAGGACTGCTGCACTGATATCTCTTCCCACTATTGGCCATGTGTAAGCACGCGATTTTTACCCTATATGAGAATTACTCCCAAAAAATTCAAAATAAAATGATTTTCCTTGGTGTGCAATTTTGTGAGATTTTGTGACATTTTTGGATAATTATTTGTATTTGTCTGTGCATGTTTATTTGTTAAATTAATAAAAAAAATACAAAATATGTAGCATTTTGCATGTAGGATTTAATTTTACAATTTGTTAGTAATTAAGTTTGTTTACAAAAAATAAAAATTACAAAAATAGGCATCTTTTGCATTTTTAGCATTTAATGTCCAAATATACAATTTTATGCCTAATTATTACTTAATTGTGCGTAAATTGTTATTGAGAGTTAATTTGCGCTTTTATAACTTAATTTAGTTTTTAATAATAATTTAAGTACTTTTATGATTTAGTTTTAGAAAAATAAAAGAAGAAAAAAGAGCAAAATACAAAGAAAAATCGGATTGGGCCACTTCTTCAATTTTCAAACCACAGGCCCAA